GGGAGCTGCTGGTCTCAGGGGTAATGTCCGCTCCACTGCTCCTGGCTCGAGCGTCCCTGGGCACAGGCAGGAGGTGTCCGATATATGAGAACCGGGATAAAAGCACTGGCCTGGTCCTGTGACGGAAGGGCAGCAGCCTTAGCCTCCACGGGTGGGAGGGAAGGTGCAATCTGAGCCTCAGTGTCCTTTAAGCGTGACCTGCCCAGGTGTCCTGGGGATGGCCACGCTGCCCTCCACTGTCCTTTCAGGCCGTCAAGGCTCTCAGGAGCCTTCATCTTTGCACAAGAGGAAGGGCTAGAGCTGGGGTGAAGGTGACCTCAGCAGCAAGTAGGGGTTGGCAATTGCAGAGGGGTTACTGTGTTCCTTTTTGGCCTGGGAGCCAGGGATGGGACTGGCTCCGCACCACCGCCTTCGCTGCGAGACCCTTCCTGGAAGAAGCCAAAGTAAGTCCTGTGAGCATTAGTGTATCGGGGAGTAGCCACCATTAACAACTCCAGCAAAACATTTTCCCGTGCCTGATTATGGCTTAGCCACCAGCCCTGGCTCTGAGCCTGGCCAAGCCAAGGGCACACCATACCCAGCTCTGGACAGGCAGCAAGGGGCCCTGCGGTGGCCACGCAATCCTGTTCTCTTCTGCCAGAAATGCTGGCACTGCATGGCTGGAAAAAGATGCTTTTATTCTGTTTCCTCTGAGCAGCCACCCACACTGTGCCCATGAGAATAGACAGGATCAGCCAGCACGAGAGAACAATGGGCCCTTGCTGACATCTCAAAATCATAATAGCACTGGGACCAGCACTCCAAGACCTTCTCCTTGAGACAGTAAAGCTTTTAAAGGCTTCCCGAGGGCTTCAGGCATTCCCTTTTGGAGGAGCAGTCAGTGGCTGCCTGTGCACTCGCAGCATCCTCTCTCTATAGAAATAACACACTCAAAGCACAATTGATAAGATGATTATTAAATAAAATTCAGCAATTATAAATTAGTTCTGCGCATCACCCGTGGCACATTCCCTCGCTCAGGCAATAGGTGGGAAAGCACCCCTGATTTGGGACACAGGTGATGTCACCAGCGCCCTCCCATCGTGGTCTGCATTTAAACCCCAGCAGGGCAGTAATGTGTAGGGCTGGTTAACTGCTAAAATGGAGCTATTTTAGTAAATTAGAGTCAATTCTGTAGGACTGGCAAGTTTTGATCTCTTGTGCATCACAGCATACTCCCTTGATACAGCATACTTCCCTTGATTTGAAGAGCTGAGGAGCAATCACTGAGTGAGTACATAGCAGCGACAGCACTGGCCAAAGAGCCCTCCAGGGCCCTTGGGAAATGTGAATTGCAAAATAAACAAATAACTGCTGAGTGATTACATTAATATTACTGACTATCCCCCAGGCTTTATTAGCAGCTCCTTAATTGGGGCCTGCTTGAACTAATTAGTTCAAAGAAGCAGCCAGGGGCCACATCAGATTGAAAAAGGGCTGCATCTAATTCATTCCCTAATGGGTGGTCCACCCACTCTTGTGGCTTGGAAAAGTTTAAACAGTTGCTCAGCATCCTCTTCAGTGACCCAAGTATTGTGAATGTAAAGGTATTACTAGTTCAGTTTTAGTAATGTGCTCTTTGCAGAATTGTACCACAGAGCAGAAGCTAAGCTCTGAAACCCTATGCTGGTTGTAGCGTGGTGCTGGGTGCTCTTTTGGTGTTTTTGTCCATTTTTGGGGGGAACTGCTGGTGTTTTGTGGATTACTCTCTCATGTGGCCCTGGGGAAGGCTGGTTCCCAGGGTGGTGGCCAGGACTGTGGGAAGAGGATCTCTCAAAGAACTGTCAGCGTGGCTGTACTCTCCTCTGGCATAGCCTGGCTTGGATACCCAATTTCCCGCCTGAAAGCATTTTCATCACTACATAAATTTAGAGATAAGGTAAGAAGACAACCTGACTGGGGCTTAAACTGAAGATTTTGCTAAGTTATTTACACTTCTGTGTTTTGCAGGAGTAAATAACCCTTGCTGGGAACCCATCCATGCACTGCATAGAGGTAGTTATTCTGTGGCCTCTATTGCAAATGTTTTGTGACCAGTCAGATTCAGGTAAATGTGCTGGACATGGTGTCTGCTGCACTAGACATCTCTGATGAATGCTGTGAGCTTCAGCCAACCTGTGGTTCTTCAGGCCCTCACTCCTCTCCCACTAGTTCTTCTCCAAGCTTCTGCCTCTTCTGTTCCCCTCTCTGTACTGCTTCAAGTTCATCCCCCTCCCTGTGGCTCTGCAGCAGTGTCAGGTTCCCCTCTTCTGTCGGGGGCTTGTTTGCTGTGTCATTGAAAAAAGGACATGGCATTTTACTAGGTTAACAAGCACTGGAAGAGCAGGGGTTAGAAATAATTAGCTTTAATTAAGCAAGGAACAGGTTAGATCAAATTAAGGAGTGGCTTCAATGCAGTACATTATTTAGGAGTAATAGGTTCTCTATATAGTGGCAGATTTATATATTCGTAGCCTATGTTCATGTTGTTGAGACTAAATAAGTGCTGTGGGTAAAATACAAGCTCAGGCTTTATGAGCAGGGTAGGGTGTATCAGGGTACAAGGTAATCCAGGCTGAATCTTGGAGAAGAGTCTTTGATTTCTTATAAGGAATTAAAGTTTTTATCCAGACCATGGATATCCAGAGGAAGATGTAGTGATGTTATTTCTCTTAATTCCTTTTTGCTAGTAATTTATTTCCCAGCAGCACACAGCTGCCTGTCCTCTCAACCAGAATCTCTTTAGCAAGCTGAGTGCTGACCTTCTGCCTCCATGTCCACCTAAAACTCTCTCAACTCCTCCTAACATGTCAGAATATATGCAGAGAGAAGGAGCAGGAACTCATTCCTCATCCACAGAGTTTAATGCTCTGATGCATTTGCTGGAGATCTCATGGTGCTGGGGGGATTTATCTGCCAATTACTTCTCAAAAAATAACAAAGGGTCATGCAGGACTTGGCAGATAAGGGCAGAAAGGGAATTGTTTTTTAATTGAATCCCAAGTATGTTGAACAGAAATTTCAGAACTATCAATTAGGTGTTGGCTTGGGGCTGTAATTTAATTGAGAATAGTGCTCTTAGGATATCTCTGTCTGGAGGAATAAAAAACTTAAAGAGGAATAGGGAAGACTGGAAATGTGATGGGAAGGCAGAAAAGATCCTGCTGGAGATGCTACAGTTGGACTGCTGCCTAGGTTCGCAGAGGTCAGGGTGGTCTGTCAAATTGCACATCCCGTGCCTGAGAAATGCCTTAGACCAGGATGCAGGTGGGTTTCCACGCTTGGATAGTAAATCCTCTTCCTACATAGCCTCAGGGCGGAGCTGGCTTTCCTGTAGCTCTCTGCACCCACAGCCACAGGGTGCAGGGTTGCTGGTGCAGGGACAGCCTGTCCCCAAGGAGATGCTGCCTGTGCTCAAGGCCCCAGGGAGGCACCGAGGGCAGCTGTGCCGTGCTTTGCTGCCCTGATCTAATTACTGCGCTGAAGCAAACACCACTGGAATGCAGAATCCTTGTCCCGGCTCCTCTTCCTCTCCAAACCCACCGTGCTTGCAGGGCGTTACCAATTTATTGCACTGCTAAAAAAGGTGAATTTTCTCCTCTCTTCCTTGCTTGCTTTCTTGCATCTCCTTACTGCTGTACACATTAGTTGGCTGGAGAGCAGGGAGGGAAAGGGGAGTGGAGAGGATGGGATGCTGCTCACCTTATGTCTCTGGCTGTTGGCATGTGTGCACCCAAGAGTGCCTGGAGCTCAGGGCCCTGCAAGCCACCGTTGGCTGCGGGGATGAAGAAAATCGGTTTCTGTGCTGGCTAAACAGGGCACAGAACAGCTTAAAGGGAAGAAGCTGCTATGTGTTGAAGTAACTCTGATGTGGTGGAAGAGGAACCCACTAGCACAAGAGTCCAGCCTAGCTCTGGGCTATGCAGTAAGTTCCTGTTAGCCTCAACCCAGCCCACATAAGAGCTGACTCATCTGAAGGTAAAAGCTGCCATATTCAAACCTCAGCCATGGATTTCATCATGTCCAGGAGACCAGCAGGCCCAGAGCTCTCTTTCTTCTTCCTATACTTTACCTGTGTTACTTCAAGGCACCTTGATCCTGACTGCTCTGGTTTGTCTGCAGATGCTTTTATCAGTGGCTTGTTCTGATCTGATAAGGAAAAAATGTGTTCTAACAGAGAAAAAAAATCTGTATTAGGGAAAAGATTGTTAGAAGCAAACCATTTAATTTCCTAGTTTTGTTTGCTAAATGGAACAATTTTCTCACATTGTAGCAAAACCACTTCCATTTTATTCAAGAAGCAAATCCCAAATTTCTGTGCAGAACTTCTTAAACAGCCATGAAGAGGAACTTTGTCAGTGGACAGAAACCGCCACCCCTCAGGAGGCATTTATGTCCTCAGTAGGTGAACGTATTCCTCAGAGAATTATGCTAAGATGAGAAGAGCAGACTCCTGGAAGTGCCTAATTGTCTGCCCTAACGCTAAAAGGACTCTAGAGGAGCAGCTCACAGGAGTGTCTGTTACAAGCATGTAAATTTGTGTAGGTGAATCTCACCCTGTAAGAAAACTGGTCCAGCAGAAAGACTTTCCTTGAATGCCCTTCTTTTCGAGGATTTCCTTTCAGTGCTCTGGCCCAAGTCAACAATAAATTGCACCTGCATATAACACAGAACGGCGTCACAGCGCTATATTTAATTTACATTTACAAATTCTTTAAAGATGCTAAACATTGACTTGTGCCTAACCCTTCACCAAAGAAGAACAAATTAACATTAAGGAAAAGCAAATTAATTTGCCTATAAGCATGTCTTTTTTATAAAAGCCCTGGAGAGGTATTAAATTAAGCTTGCTGCAATGCCAAAGCAATTTCTGTTGGCACTTTCCCAGCACGGTGCACACAATCGCGTCGTTGCCACTGCCTGTGTTGTTCCAGAGTCCCAGGATTTATTTGCAGGCTTGTTCTTTGCAGGAGCAGGGAGACTGTTCAGATCTTACTGTTCGGTGGTGTGATCAGAGCTGTCATGAGAATAGTCCTTCACGACGCTGTAGTACACCGGCACCGTGTGCGGCGCGGGGTTCTCAGTACTCTTCTCTTTACACTTGCAGAGCTTCCTAAAGGCAGCCCTGAACTTCTGTGACATGAGGTTGTAGATGATGGGGTTGATGGCGCTGTTCAGGTAGATGCACATGCGGCAGAAGAGAAGGAACCAGATGTTCAGGTACGGAGGGTCCATGAAGGAATTCACCACCACCAGTGTGCGATAAGGCATCCACAGAAGAGCAAAGAGGACCACCACAACAGCCAGCATTTTGGTCACCTTGCCAGTGGGGATATGTGAAAAGAGAAATAGTCAGATGGTGCTACAGCTCCAGCAGAGCTTTCCCACCTGGAGAAATGGTGCAGACAGCTAATTTGCTCTACATATTGTTTATATCTCCCCTTAAGTGTTTCAAATAGGCACCCAAACCATGGGGTTATTCCTCTCCAGATCCATTTTGTTCACAAAAAAATCATGCATAAATAAACCCCTTAAATGACAGATTTTCACCTACTGTTGAAGAGCCTTCAAACTCTGTACGACATGCATTCACCAGCCTAGAAATGAGCTGGGGTAATCTTGGGAATTTCTGTACCAGAAAGCAAATTTGAAAATTGTACATAACAATTAATAGGAAAAATAACTTGTGAAGAAGTGGAGACCTAAGGTTTGGGGGGTGCCATGGAGCTAGGGATATATCATCTCCCTGCCCTAGGAGCTCCTGGATTCCTACACCAGCTATATTGTTCAGAGGTCCTGGTACAGAGCAAAATTGGGAGCGGAGGAGACTGTAGAGTCTTACACAAATTCCTACTTGTGATGATATGAGAGTTACTTAGCAAATTGCTAGGGACTATTTTAATTTGCAGCAGACTAGAGAAGTACTACATTGACATATTAGGAACAAGAAGATACTGAGAAGTCGGAAGTGAGCTGTAATTGCCCTCAGTTTGACTCAAGCTTGTTTGAGAAAACGGGTTTTTGTACTGAAACTCCAGTGATCCTAATAATTTTGACAGCTATTTCTGGTAGGTGATAATCATCCTCCAACACAGAATACACATCCTCAAGGAAGAAACTATGAGTAAACACTGATACCACGTGCATAGTAAGGCAGTGGCATTTCAAACGTCAGGAAGGGAGTTGTGCAATGACTCTAGTTCTCGATATGTAAATAAGTACTTAGATCATGTTCACAGTCTCTCAGCTTTTCTCAGAGTGATTTTTTTTTTTTTTTGCTTTTTCCCAAGCAACTAGCCTTCCTGTAATGCTGTGAGTAGAAATTGACTACGTTAGTAGTGGAAACAAAACTTACACTACAAGACAGGGTCTATTATCAAGCTGAGGCCAAAACAGAAGTGTTCTGCTGTGTGTGGTTTAATGGGAATGTGAGGAAACTTCCCAGAATAAGGTCTCGCAGTGACACGGTGAGTGCTGAGGCTGTTGCGAAGACTGCAGCAGCAACACTGCCTCAGTTTGTTGCCTTTTGGGAAAGGTATGAGAGATTATGCAAGTTGTGTCATTAAGAGGTAGCTTTAGAGCTTTCCACTGCCTTTTACAAGGACTGGCGGGATCCAGAAGAGCAAGGGCCAGCTCACAAGCTTTTGGTGTCAAGCCACCCTACCTAGTGTGCAACTCCTAGGGTGATAATCTAGTTTACAGAAATACTCCTGAACGGATAGGTTGGGAATGGGCAGCAGTTGCTTGGCACGTGGCTGACCATGATCAGAATCTCTACGTACCATCACGGTGGTAGCTGCTGCCTCTGCTAAGGCTGGCAGGGCAATCTGGGCTCGGCCACCTATTCCCAAGGGAAGGAGCGTCCTGACAGCAGTGGTGAGACAGTATTGCTGTGGGCTGTGCCACAAGACCTGGGAACAGGGAGCTTCCAGCTCCTGGATCAGCCTGGGAAGGAGCAGATTTTGCTTCAACACCATATGCCACATGAGCAGTGTGTTCTCTGCTGTTCTAAGCATCTTTATAGCAAACAAACACAGCAGCGATGGAGCATTCAGCCAGCGGGCTGCCTGCTGCAGTTCTGCTTCTCTGGTTTGCAGACAAAATTGGTTTTGCTGTATTTTAGATGCATCTGAGATTTATTTCAAGAGAACCTGAATGAAGTTGATCTGAACAAAATGGCTAATAGCTGAACCCTACAGCCAAATGCAACCACCTCCTCAGCTTAAGTGAGCTTAAGCACGATTTCAGTCAGAATTTAATACCCTCTGCTAAGCAGTTTATTCCTCCTGGGACACGAGGGCAGGCACAGTGCTTTTGCATCCCATGCAGTGACTGAACACGTCCCTGTCCTGCCTGGAAGAGTCCATGTTAAAGGGCTGTGTTGGAGGGAAGGTTGGGGGGGGAAATCTTTCCATCAGCTTCAGCAGTCCTAGGCAGCAGGATTGCTACATAATATGTCCTGGGAAAGTGAAACGCCACACCCCTGCAGGTCCTCAGTTACACACGAGCACTCCTCACTTAGCAGTTGTCTCAGTTCCCCAGATGGAAAGTTACCCCCCGCAGAGCTGGGGAGAATAAATCCCTGAGCTTTCATACACTTTTAGCTCTGCGCTCTGGCAGGTGTCCCTTCTGGCCAGGAGGTTTCTGTAGCACTCAAATGTTCCTTTTAAAGCTAACACATTAATTCTGCTCATGTCCTTTCTTCTGAGACTGAAACATCTTTGGCTTTTTGACTGTTGTAACTCTCTGCCTTGTTTTACTGTTCAGGAACCCGCTATGGTTTTGAACAGTGATGGGAACACCACACCCGAGTGACAGGACTAGGGTAGTGTATCCTAATAAGGCTGAAGAGTAAGTTCATTCCAGTCCCTTCTGAGACCAAAAGAAATGTAGTCTGGAAAACAACCAGTGATTCATCTGCTTTTTAGCCATGATTGCCCCTGTTTTTCAGCTCGTTGTTATGGAAATGCCAGCAGTCCCAGTGACTGCTTGCCCAGCTTCCAACACCTCCCTCCAGACCGCAGAAGACCACACAGTGCTATCACGCAGAGAACACTTGTTGCAACATATCCTAGAGCCATGCGGAAAAGATGTGTTTGTCCTGGGAGGGGAAATGGGCTAGAAACAGCACCGTGAGGAATTATTTTTTCTATCTCACTAAACACCTTCAGTGCTCCTCGAGGATGCTGCACCCAGACCACAAACTGGGTTGGGCAGCCCAGCCCTGAGCTTGAAGGTAAGAATTGAAATTTGTCTTTTAAAGCCAACACCCATATGGACCATGTTCTCCTGGGTACAACTTTAGCAAAGTTGTGTCAACACGGGATGTCTCCTGTGGATAAATTTCAACAGTCTATCCCAAACTCACTCTCATGTCTCCATCACAGGGAAAGAAATCCTCAGTGTCATCTGTGTGCATGGCTGAAACTTCTCTCTATGCCTTTCCTCACTCTACCTTACTGAGGTGAGTAACCAAAGAACACTTGAGGTGCTCTGAACTTCTGGTACTTGTGTGAAAAATGAACCTCATCAGCACTGAGGAGAGTTTGAGACATTTATCCCTAACTGGAGTAGTCCTGAATTACGGCCCCCAAAAACCAGCTGCATCCAGAAATGCTGGAGTTCTGCTACAGCCTCAAAGCATCTCTCAAGGAATCACTCAGCTCAGGGACATTTTTTAAAACAAATGGTTTCCAGCAACTCTATTGTGCACACAACAGCTGTAAATGAGCTATGGATACAAGAAAGACAAGGGTTTGTAGTCAGAAGGGGTTGCTTTACTAGAACAGTTGGTATTTAGCTGAAAAACACTTTGGAGCACATAAGCCTCTCGCAAGGGGTGTCCAGCCCCCCCTGTCCCCAAGGCCACAAACAGTTCTCCTCAGTGAGTGTCCCTCTCCTTGCGCAGGCAGCGGCCCCCTGAGCTCAGCATCCTTTTTTTAGGAATCCCGCTCCCTCTAGTGGTCCCTGTAGCAGGTGAAATACGTGCTTGGAGGTGGCTGGCGTTTGTACCTGTGGTGCTTTTCTTCTTCAGGTGACAAATACAGCAAAACCTCATGCCCCGTGCTCTCCCGCTCTGGAAGTGTGTGTTTTAGAGGCACCAGTGAGGGAACAGCAGCATATTCGTGCTCTGCAAAGCAAGCAGTGCAGTGCTGGGGCTGCACAGGAGCACAAATCCTCCGGGAGCCAAATCCCTGGTTCATGGTGAGAATCTGGCAGATGCTCGTGCACCTTCGCCTCAACAAACTAAAAGGTGTTTGCAGGGTTGGGATCCCATTTTGCCACATCACTGGGCATTTCTAATGGTGTCTTTAGTGGTTTAGCCTAGACGGCAATTGCATTTTAAAGAAGTTGCATCCTCATTTCAATTTTCCCCACTGGTAGCACATGCATTTTCACAGCCTCCTCATTATCTTGCCAGGTTGGAGATCACCACGATTTGCTGTTATTGCAGTTTCTGACGCTACGTCCTCACTTCTGATACTCAGGACAAGACTTTTTACCAAGTGCCTCAAATTCCTCATGACATTTTCAAGGGCTGTCAGTGCTTCTCAGGAGGGTGCAAGAAGTTGATGGCATTACCTATCAGGGTGTCCTTTCCAATTCACCCTGCCCACAGGTGATTAATGAGCAAAGGAAACTGCTTATGAATTCCTCAGCCAGCATCAGCTATTGCAAAACAGTGTTCAGTGGTGCAAGTGCAGATCCATCTGTGTTTCCTCTTTCCCCAAGTTTCCTCTGGTTTTGAGGGCATTGATGCCATGTCTATCAGAAAATCAGAGAGGAAACCTTTCTTCTGCTAAAGACAATACAGGACACTGGTGTCCAGGCTGCTCCCTTCTAGGGCTTGTACCTGCCCCACTGACCACATGATTGCTCTCCTCTGCACTTGCTTTTAAGCCCCTTCTCCTATCCAGCCTCTCCATCTGATAGCTCTGCTGGCACAAATGGATTCACCCGCCTTCTTTCTCATATAAAATCCTTTTCCTAATGATCTGTCCATCTCCCAGCACTCAGCCCATGCCTCTTCTCTGCTCTGCCCCCATCACCCCTCTGGGGTCCTACATGTTGCAGCATATTCCTGAAAAATATCATTCCTGTGGCCCTGGCTTCCCTAGCTCAGAGAAGCAAATTCCAGGCAGAATTCTTTGCAGTCTCTGGAGGCCTCTTTCCTCCCTGAGTGGTTGGGTTGTTTTTTCCTTCACAACTAGATGCAGATTCACGACTCACTGCAGCTTCTGCTCCTCAATCCACTGCACTGCCAGCAAAAACCTCTGGCTGGATTTCAGACAGTGCTCAGGTGGATGCTTTGATAGGACCTGGATTTGTTATGCTCCAAGAACTGCTGTTCATGCTTCCCCAAACTCTTGTCAAAATAGCTGTGCAGCTTTGGTGCACAGAAAAATTATTTCTGCACTGAGCATCCAGCAGACCAACCTTTCAGCAATTAATCAAATGGTTAAAGTCGGACATCTGCATCCTGGTTTTGTCTCCTCTGATTTTATGCACAGTCATATAAATTACCCTATGCTTTTATATGTATAAAGAATCAACCACACCCTATGTCATCTCCAACTTGCAAAAGATGCTTATGGAAAAACCTGGTTTACAACCATGTCTGAGGTGCAGCACTGCATCTGTGTGACAGCAACCAACCCGTGTGCCAGTCACCTAGCTCCCATGTCACTTGTGCCACGGCTGAGATTTCTTCCTCCATCACACTCAGCTTGCTTTGAAGAGCTGCTGGGGTGAAATCAGAAGAATTAAAAAAAAATAGCTGGAAGCACTGATCAACTGCTTTGCAGTTTAAAAACTCGGTGCCATTTTTATTTCTAATGATGCCAGCTCGAAGATATCAGGTCAGCCAGGGAAACTCTTTGGATGCTAAGATATTTCAAGAGGTAATGACAATCTCCAGAAAACTACCAGTGCAACAGAAAAGAGAGCACAAGATGTTTCCAGGAGCTGGAGTGCCCATCATCCAGCCCCATCAGCCACTCGTCCTAATGATGCTGGAGCATGCTGTGTGCGGCGCAGCCGCTCCATGGCACAGCATCATGGGGCGAGAGGCACAGCCCCTGCAGCTGCTGCTCTGGAAGGAGAGGACCATCAACCCATACTGTTAGGTACTGCCTTGTAGCATCTAGAGACTTCCCTGCCAAACACTCTGACTGAAGCTTCTGCAGCAGCCAGCAACCCTGGGAGTGTAGGCAAGTACTTTTGCAGAAGTCAGGACTTACTTTAAACCATTCTGTTGCTGGAGCAAAAAAAGGAGAAACAGCTCAACTGGAAAGAATCAGAAGTTCATGAAGAAATACATGCTCTCTGGGCTGTTTGCCTCCCCTCTGTGACTAAGTCATCCCTCCTGGGGAATGGAGGTTCCTGTGCAAGTCAGGCAATGAGATACTGAGCTGGGAAAACAAGGATTTCAAGACAGGCTGAAGCCTATTTCAGGCTGTCTGGAAATCAGGTCCTGCTCTCTCAAAATCACAATGGAACTGGTGATTTCAGGGACCTGAGCCAGACCCCCAGATTCAGCCCTTTCCTTTAAAATAGCCCATGTCTCTGCCTATGAAAGTTTGAAACCATAATGGGACAATCTCCTGCAAATGTCCAGTGAGCAGGCAAGAGTGTCTTGTGTCCAGATGATGATCTGTCCAAGGAGACAGGGCGAGAGATAGTAACTGTCTATGTGGACAGAGAAAAAGAAGAAATGAGAGAAGGAGGTGGGAGGAGAAGGAAATGAGGAACAAGGAGGCAGCTGAATGACAGAGGAGTCACTGAGAGGCAAAAATACCACTACAATACTGAGATGCCTTCCCCAACTCCAGGGACTCGGGGGCTGCAGCCAGGGCTGGATTTGGAGAGCAGAGGCTCACATCAGCTCTCCCCCTCCTTTGCTTCTCTAAATCTGATGTGACCCCTCCAGGACCCTGTCTGGGAGGCAAGTCCGGCTGGGATAATATGATCTAGCATTCGTCTCCTCAGGAAGACAACCAGTAATTAATTATCCAGCAAATACCCTTGTACTGCTGCCTCTCCCAAGTGATGCTGGTGCCCAGTCCTGCTCTGCCAAGCTCAGCCAAGGAAGGGAGAGCCCATCTGTGCTCCCAGCCCTAAGCTGGGCTTGGCAGGGGGGCTTCTGTGCCACAAACCAACCCCCTCCACTCCTCCCACAAAATGAAGCAAAATATTGGGGCACCCCATCCCATGCCAGAATGCCCCTCAAAGCACTGAGCCCCGAGAGCACTACCTGCAGCCCAGTGTGCCCCAGCCCAGCAGGGAGTCCCTACCTGTTTGCGGGAGCTCAGGGCCCCCTTGTTGCCCCGGCAGGAGAGCTTGAGGGAGCCACCCTGGTGCATGGAGCCCAGGCAGGAGTGCTGCGGAGGGGCAGGCAGGGGACTCATGAAGAGAATGCGGGCAATGAGGCCGTAGAGGACAGTTGCCAGTCCCAATGGAATGATGTAGAAGACAGCAAAATCCAAGAAGTAAATGGGCATGTAAAGGCTTCTGGAGACCCGGTAGCCACAGCTGACCTGTGCCCCATCTGAGAAGGTGACCTGGGTCGTGTCCACCAGGAAGAACCACATCAGGCAATAGAGAGAGGTGAAGAGCCACAGCGAGGAGATGATGCGCTTGGCGCGGGACACAGTGCAGAGGAGCTGCGCTTTGATGGCGTGGCAGATCGCGATGTACCGCTCCACCGTGAAGGCAGTGATGGACCAGGCAGAGATGTTGATGCCCAGGTACTGCAAATAGGTGATGCAGAGGCAACCGGCGTAG